GCTGAGAGGAGGCACAACCATACACTCCCATGTGTATACATACTGAGAGGAGGCACAACCATACACTCATGTGTGTATACATGCTGTGGAGGCACAACCATACACTCACATGTGTATACATGCTGAGAGGAGGCACAACCATACACTCACGTGTGTATACACGCTGAGGAGGCACAACCGAAGAGGCAAAGGGCGGATTAGTCTAGAGGAAGAATTTTTAAGGCATTGTCATTCACAACTTCTCTGTAAGTTTGAAGTTAGAAACATAGCCTTTTCCGTTACACCCAGTTTGTTTTTATTTGGGGATAACGCCTTATGTAGCCCATGTTGGCATCAGGGCTAGAGAGATGGCTTAGTGGTTAAGAGCACCTGTTGCTCTTGCAGATGTCCTGGGTTCAGTTCCAAGTGCTCACATGATAGCTTACAACTGTCTGTAACTCCAGTGCCAAGGGATCTGACACTCTTTTCTGGGACTCTGGGGACACTTTACACATGTAGTGCACATATATACATGCAGGCAAAACACCTGTACCCATAAAATAAAAATAAATAAATCTTTTTAAAGTGACAAAAATGTAGCCAAGTTATTTGAAGCTTCCTGCCCATGAACTATGTTTGCTATTGTGTTTTAACCCTGTGACCGAGGCAGACAGAGGTGTGTGTTCATGGTTCTTTGCATTTATGGTATTTGAACAGTTGGGCAGGCTTTCAAGGAGGTGAAGGATTTCTTTCAGTTTTGTAGCCAACCTCTGTCTACCAGGCTGCTTGTTACCACACAGCCTCTGTAGCCTCTTGAGTTTAGCTCTGAACGGGTGAAGCAGAGATGCTTTGAACCGGATTTATTGAGAGATGTGGTTGAATAGGGAGGAGGCAGAAGATTAAGGATTTATGTGGTACAGGCCAGGCATGAAGTTATTGGCCTGGCATTGGCGCAGATGCTACCTATGTTGCCTGGGCTCTGTGCTCCTGTCACTTACCCAGCAGGCTTTAAAATATAACATTGTAGTCTTCCAATCTTCTCCCTCATATTCAGAATGACTTTTATAACTTGGAGGCATTACATAAAATTTGAGTCAAAGCATGTCAAGTACATCATTTAAGGATTATGTGTCTCAAGTTTCACTAAATGCTAGCATTTGCCATCTGAGGCATTTCACTAGAATACCAGCATTGCTATACTGTGTTAACTTTCTGTTTGCTAACATCAGTAATTGTGTGTTTTGATTCTATTTTAAAATACAATGTTCTGTCAAGTCTATATTGAGTCCTATCAGTGGGGTTATCAGCAAAAGAAGTAAGCGTATGTCCCAAGCACTTGGACATCCAGATTAGAAAGTAGCATTGACTTTTGGACAGTGAATGCTAATATCCCTGAGTTATATATAAGAAAAGAATTTGTATTTACAGATGTTACATTCACATCTTATGCTTTCACCTAAACATTTGAGAATTTTCTGTGGCTTATTTAAAAATGACAATTATAACAAGATTTTTAAAAATGTGTTTGTCCTCTTTTGATCTAGGTACTTTTAGTGTTTACCAAAGAAGATAACCAGTGTAATGGATTCCACAGGGCATGTGAAAAGGCTGGGTTTAAGTGCACAGTCACCAAGGAGGTGCAGGCTGTCCTTACCTGTTTCCTGGAAAAAATCCATGACATCATTATCATAGACCATCGAAATCCCCAGAAGCTGGATGCAGAGGCACTGTGCAGGTAAGCCAGAGACCCGGCCTACAGAGTCCCATTGGCCTTTGTGATAACAAATGCAGCCTGTAAACACATTAAGTTAAATTCAATCTCAATTTCCTTATATACAAAATAAACAAGGCACTATAACCCCATTGTTTCCAGGACTAATCTTTATTTCTTGTTTGTCTTGCTTGCTTTATTTAAAACAGTAAGAAATTGTCTAGCATGCACAAAGCCCTGGGCTCACTCTCAAACACCACATACAAAAAAATCAACACAAAAAAAAGTACTAAGGAAATATAAATAACAATCATTAGGATTAACAACCATTAACATTTAATTAATCCCAACTATCATTTGCATATTCCTGAAACAAGAATGGTTATAATTTCCTATATTTAAAAAAATCCTTTTGTGTCTTCATGTGGATGTGTGCCCACATGTAGAATCCAGAGGTCAACATAGGTGTCCTCTTCAATCATTCTCCAGGTTTTTTGTTCATTCGTTTGTTTGTTTTGAGACAGGATCTCTCATTGGGCCTGACCCTCATCTTTTCAGCTAGGCTGGCAGGCCAATAAGTTCTAGGGATCTGCCTGTTTGCACTTTCCCCAAGCCCTGGGCTTATCAGTGCATGCTACTGTGCCAGGATTTTACTTGGGCAGTGGGGATTCGAACTTGTATGACAAGGCCTCTCGGAACCGACTCTTCCTAACTGGTAGCTCTTGTGTGACTCCAGAATTGAACAGTACACAGGAGACGTGGCTGGCCAGTGAAGAACAGACTTTACAAATGCAGTTCCTGATAGTCTTTCCCTGATAGACCCTGGCCAAGAGGCTCCAGTCTTTTCTTTGTTAACTCCTGCCTACCACTTCATCTTCATCTTGTGGGGTGAGAGTTTGGGGCGGGGTGGGTCTTGGTGTCATCCCTAGTGAGTTTTCTAGAGGCAAGAGTAGGCCCTGCTTATTTTTCAGGCCAGCTTTATCTTGCTCTCAGCCTTTATCTGGTTTGTCTCTTAAGATCATCTCTACAAAGGCATCTGCCCAGTGTGAATTGTTTCATCGAGAAATGTCTCCAGCATCTCATTCCTTAACTGACTTGACTTGCTCTTGGTCGACCTGTGCAGCCCATGAGACCTTAGCCCTGACAGAGCACTGTCTTCCCTTTATCCTCCTTTTAGGGGACGCCTAAGCAATACCAGCCTGTGGAATGCTTTTCATCTGTTGCTGACCTGTCCAAATTATTCGGCTGTAGCTCTTTACTGGGCATGTGGAACTCCTTGTACTCCTGTGAAATACCTTCTTGAAGGTCAAATACTTTGTCTGTTGCACTTCCAAATACTCCTGTTTCAGAGCCTTATTTTGCAAGTCTCAGTTTAAGATACCACGTGTGATACTATAGCTGTATGAATGAACAAAACCTGTGTCTTGCCTCTAGGGAACATGATGATCTAGTTGCAGTGTGGTGGCCAACTTCAGCTTGTCAGCCAGACTGGATTAAGACATGCTGAAGGCATTAGTGAGGTTCCAGGCCGTGGGCTGGGGTCCTGGACTAGAGAAAAAGGGAAAAAGAGAGAGCACTGATCTCCAGAGCTCCTCCTCCTCCCTCTACTCCTGCTCTGCTGTGAGGAAGTTCCCTTTACCAGGCTGTGCGCTGCTCCTCCCCAGCCTTCCCCACCAGGATGGACGGTATCTTCTGAACTGTGAGCAAAAACGAACTTGTCAGCAACTGCTTAAGTTGCTGATCAGTTCAGCACAAGAAAAGTAACTAACACATAGAATATCTTTGTTTCATATGGCTATGACATAAAGCTTGAGACTAGGTAATTTATGAAGAACAGAAATTAGAGGCCGGAAAGATGGCTCTGTGGCTAAGAGCGCCTACTGCTCTTCCAGAGTGTCCGGATCCAGTTCAGGTACCCGTGTCAGGTGGCTCACACTGCCTGTAACTTTTGAGACTGTGTCTCACTATGTAGCACCGGCTGTCCTGGAACTTGCTATGTAGACCAGAGTGAGTTCAAACTCACATAGTGGCCTTGAGCTCACATTGATCTGCCTGTCTCCACCTCCCAAGTGCTGGAAGTGAGGGCATATGTCACCATACCCCGCTGACTCCCTGGAACTTTAGCTGGGCGATGGGGTTAAGGGTCCCAACCCCTCTTCGGGCCTCTACTCTCACCCACATACACGTGGCACACACCCACAAGACATATCCGTGTATATAAATAAATATTAACGTGAAGAACAAAAATTGATTTCCTCATAGTTCTTGAGACAGAAAACGAAGCTGAAAGTGCTGGCCGCGTCAGTGGTCCGGCTGCATCCTCTGGAATGATGGATGACTGTGTGACATCTCCTTGATCAGTGCCTTACTCTCAGTCACTGGAGAGCAGCCCGCATGGCCTCAGTTCTTAAGGCCCGACTTGATGCTGTCCCATTGGCACACACAAACTGTGCAGGGCACGTGGTCAGGCCAATGCAGACAGGTAGGTTCGCTCACAAGAAGAGATTTATAAGGAAAGGGGCGCTTCAGAGAAGACATTTGAGTCGAAGAGTGAGGGATGGGCAGAAGTTTTGAAAAGAATAAAGGAGAGAGAGGGCGGCATGAGTAGGAGCGGCAGGCTGTGCAGGCTCCTTCCTCTGCTCAGGGTTCATGGCTGTTGGTCAGACAGTTGAGTGTGTGGCGCAGGGGAGGCCGGGACAGCAGACAAGAGCCAGATACAAGGGCCTAGTGTGCTTCGCCAGTCTTTTGACTACTCTGGGTAGTTAAGACGCTGATACTCTGGCGTGGCGGCACAAGCCTCTCTCTAATCCTCCATCTAAGAGATAGAGGCAGACAGTAAGAATTTTGAGGGCGTCTAAGTAAGCTACAGAGTGAGCCTCTGTCTCCGCTGCATCTCAGGGACCAGTCAAGAGCTGTTCCTGCTGTGCCCGGCATATAGCAGCTGAAGTACCAGTGAGGAAGGGGGTGAGCAGGCTGGTTCAGCCCCACTCCCATCTGCTAAGCCTGGGATGCTGAGCTGTACTTATCATAGAAACATATGGCTGCCGGGCGGTGGTGGCGCACGCCTTTAATCCCAGCACTCGGGAGGCAGAG